GCTGAAACTTAAGACATCTCTGTGGCAATGCCCTTTTAATTTTAAACTCCCCCTTCCATTTTCTTTTCCTTTCAGATTGACCTCTACTTGGCAAGGTGCAGAAGGAGAGGCCTAAAGGCTAGCTAGAGCACGGGTGCTCCATGGGACCCAAGGGGAACTCTGGAAAGTTGCCATCAGTGCCATCAGTGGAGCCGACCTAAGACACTCAACCAGCAGACTTGGATTGTCTTTTCTGTATTAGTGTACTAATAAGCCTAACAGATACTCTGAGACAATGCTTTGCAGTGGTGTGTGTCTTTTTTAGGCAGAAAATTCACTTTATGTGAAGACTGCAGATTGCAAATGCGTTTTGTGAGAAATAGATGTGTGCAAATTAACTTTTTGTGATTTCACAAGCTCTACTGAAGAATCTTATGAGGAGAGGCTGAGGGATCTGGGCCTGTTTAATCTGGAGAGGAGAAGACTGACAGAGAAGCTCAATAACACATATAAATATCCCAAGGGTGGATGCCAAGAGGATGATGCCAGACTGTTCAGTGGTGTCCAGAGACTGGGAAAGGAGCAATAGTCAGAAACTAAAACACAAGACGTTCCACCTCAACATGAGGAAGAACTTTGTGTTGAGGCTGGCAGAGCACCAGAACAGGCTGCCCAGGGAGGTCTAGAGTCTCTCTCTTTCCAGAGACATTCAAAACTCACCTGGATGAGTTCCTTTGTCACCTGCTCTGGGTGATCCTGATGGGATGGAAAAATAGAACTTGAGAAAAATAGTCCAAAGTAAGGATTACTCTGGGAGACTTCTGCCAGCATTACTCTTTATAGCTAAAATTAAATGCTGCATCTTCTATTTTCAGTAATACCTATCTTTTCTTCTCAAAAGATCACAGTACTTGAACTTGAAAACCAGTATCACTTTTTTTTGTTCTTTCAAACAAGGAACTATGAACTTAAAACCCGTAATTCTGTTTTTAAAATCCTGCCTTTTTTGCCTATCAAACTGAAATCACAATAACAAGAATCTTGAATTAAGAAAGTAAATTTTATTATTGTACCCCAATTTTAAAGACACATACAAAGAAATGTACCAACAGGTATTATTAGGAGCTTTCTCTAAAGGAAATTGTTCACCATTTTCTCTAGTGAGTGATAACATAAAAGGACATGGCAGATGTCACCTACTGAGGTGGTGATAATTTCCACCTGGTTTTAGTAGGCTTGGAACACACCCTATTGTACAATCCTTGACTGATGCAGAAGTCAATGTTTTCATTAAGTATCTAAAGAGACGAGATCAGGAAAGGATCTCCACAGATTTCATAGTATGCAGCACTGGGGGAATGTTTTCTAGATTAAGCATTTGAAAAGACAGAAATAAATACTCTAATTTTAACTAGACTTTCAATTCAATTGCCATATTTTAAACAAAAACATCAGCAACAGTAACAGTTGCAAGGGACTCATATTAGCCTAGTAATAATTACAATTTCAAATAGTCACCAACAGCTGTAATTCAGAGGTTTCATAATCCCCTTCTCCTGTCCTGAACACCTACCTCTACTTTTCTTGAGCCATCTCTACAACTTTACCCTATAGCAGGCAGCCAGCATCCATCTACAATGCTACCATTATTATCCCAACTACTTTATCCTCTATCTCTTCAATATATTTCTATCTCAGACTTATGCAAAAGCTTTTGAAATAACACTTTTAGGCCCTTAGTGTACTAAATGTCTCAGTAATATTTAATTTCCGCACTTGATTACATCAAAATCATTGTCAAATTAAGTATCATATTTGCAATTAAAATTATCCTAATCATTTATTTTAGCCCATATTTGTGTACAAAATTACTTCTGGAGACTTACCCTTAGTTGGTGAATTCCTGTGATTGTACAGTGCACCGAATGCAATTCCACTTTAATGGCATACAAAGGCCATACTTAAGTTCTTCAACTATGAATATATGATAATAGGATCCAATTGAGTGTATTTACTATTTAACTCTCCTGTTCAAATGACACTGTTTATCTGTTTTAAAATCTACTTAAGGAAACCATTAATTGAGATGCTATTTCTATTGTGGAATAACATTTTTTTAAAGTTGCCAGTACTCAAAAGAATAACTAATATAATATCTTCGTTTATCTCATATGAAACAGAAGATATTTTAGAGAAATATTTAAAATCAGCTTGTTAACTTTTCTATGTATTAAAAATCTGAATGGGAAAAGAAGAATTGCTTTCCTTCTTGAATAGTGTTTCCATTTTATGATTAACTTATCCTTGACCAAACACAGCACACCATACAGAGAGCAATAACATAAGTAATGTTTATGAAACAAATGGGAATTCTGTTGATTATCTCATTGGAAAAAAAAAAATACAGGGCAATACAAGGGCAAACTAATCTGGAGCAATTTTCATCAGCTTAAAGCCTAATAGTGCTGCAATGCTGAGGTTTCTTTCTTTTTGTGTAAGAACTGAAAAGCTATGGTTGGTTGTATTATTAAAGATAATTCTACAATCCTCGTAGAAAATCTTATATGAAAGAAGACTCACATGTAGATTACCAAATATATTTGGCTTAGTGAATCAGTTCAGGAAACAAATAAGGAAAAAGAGGAAGTGCTTGATTTTATCTAGCAGCCCTGCAATGTTCAGAAACATTGAAACATTAGACAGTCTAAATTAGTTAACCTGATAAATCTTGTAAATAATCTAGACTTCCTAACAGTCATCTTTCTCTCCTCATATCCCAGTCTAGTTCTGAGGTCTGATTTTATCTAGCATCTCTAATGAGTGATTTACTGGTTAAGGTTTACTATTTTTGTATCTGTGATAGTAAAATGATGTTGTGAAAGGGGTTTTGTCACAATGAAAGCTGGAATCATATGAAAAGGACTTCTAGATTCTCAGTGAACACTGGACCTGCTGGATATGAAGGTAAAAGAGCACATGCATTTCTAACATGGCTACATTTCTTCTTCGACAATTTCTTCTTCGACAATGTATTGCAGTATTTGGCAGTGCACTCTTATATAGAGGTCATTATTTTCACATTCAAATTTGCAAGATTTCATTGCTTTCTAAGCACTGTAATCATCCCCCTCTTCACTCCAGTCACTCTACTCATGTACCCATCCTATTTCTTTTCTAATTCTTTATATTTGTCTTCTGAAATTCTAACATCTTATTAGACTATTAGGTTCTTAGTTAAAAGAGAATTAATTTAAGTATCCTCTTTATCCCTTCAGATCTCAGTGGTACCAGAGTTTGCATTTGCAATGGAATCTAATATGGTGTCAGAAGACTTTTGCTGCCACTATTTTCAGTATTTTATGCTTATTAAGCTCCAAGCAGCCTCCTGAGCCAGAGAACACATGCAATTATGCAAACCAAATATGGAACTTCAGGTGTTGCCAAGCACAGTTTAGATATAAGCCCAAATAAACTGTCCAGGAAGAAAATACTATATATTTGCATTTTGAAAGCACACAAACATGCAGTAGTTTTTACTGAAATAAAAAGTCAGAAGAGAAACATGGCAGCAACCGTTTTATTTAGGAATTCAAAGACAAAGTTTCAGACAGCTTTCTGGTTTGTGTGTCATATTAACTAGATCTAACCATGGTCCCATTTAGTGTGGGACTTTTAGGCTACCCTTTGGAGACACATAGTTCCAGCATTCAAAATTACCTTTGCTGAACAATATGGCAAATTTTCAGGTAGAGCAATACTGAAACTGTATGACCTCTCCAGATGTTTCTTTTACTTCTAATCATTTATGCTTTGTACAATAGTTAGTATTGTGAAATATATTTATAAAAGGCATAATTCATAAAACACTACAAAACATAAAGGAATTATGTCACATACATAATATATATTAAAATAAACCAATAAGCTCAGCATTAACAAACATATCACAGTAACTCCTACTGGAGAAAACAGTCATCTTAGTTTATCCTGCCAACAGTTTCTTCTCTGAGTAATATCAAAGATAATTTACCAGTCCTCAGACTTCTCAAGTCTGCTATTTTTGATAGCCAGGAACATTTCTTGATATTTTGAGTATCAAATGCTGGCCTTACATGACATGATTTTATAACTGGAGTACCAGAATTTATCAAAATTTCACCTTTACAAAGGCCTGGGTAGACTTATACAAGGAATATAAAACGGAAGTTCTGTTTTATTTCTTCCACATACTTTTAGAAGCAATCTGTTGTTACAAACAGGGAAATTATATCTGCACACAAGACTCAGCACTATGAAAAATGTATACTAGTAACTATATAAGTAAACATACAGGAGGCCTAGTGAAGAAAGGCCATTAGACTGAAAACAGGGAAATATGGGTAAACAGTGAATCCTGCATTTAGGAGGTCTAACTTAAATGTTGTTCAGTCAATAATCAGTTAATCATGAAAATGTTTAAGTGTTAAAGTAGCAACAAGATGACTTTCTTTCCTCATATAATAAAGAGAAAATGAAACTAAAACACCCATACCCATTACTTTATTTTGTAAGCATTATGTATGTAATAATCTATATTATTCAAAAACTTTTCGTTTGACTTCTCTCACAACAGACTCATATATTACATTATCTCATAAGAGATTCTGGCTTTTTTTTTTTTTTGGGCGGTCTTTATTGACCACACTCAGAACTAGTAACATTTTTCCTAGAGTAATTTTCTTTATTCCACAATGTAGACACAAACTCTTCTAAGGAGGAAGCTTCATAAAATTATCCTGATAATGTGCACAGAATTAAAGATTCAAAAATAAATGAAAAGGTACATACACAATTGTCTTTTTACAGTTCGCAGTTTATCTTTAGATTCAGAGCATTGTGTATGAATCACCCACAAGAATTAAACTCCTCTCTACTTTAAGAATCATCCGTCTGTTTGCCAATGGCATGCATTAATTACAGTCTTATTTTCAAATATTACACTTGAGACTGAATGATATTTAGACAAAAATGAAAAATCTTACCTTCAAGAACTCTGAATGCTTTCTTGCAGCTTGGTAGAGGCCATTTAGCAGAATTGGATTTTTGAAAATTTTCCTTTAGATTCAAATATTCCATAGGGAAAAAGGATCTGGTAGAGTTATTCAGATCTACAATAATTAAGGGGAAAGAATACATACATCAATGCTCTAAATAAAGTGATAATTTGCATAAATTTATACAAAATAAAAATGCCATATCTACTGTGTAATCCTTCTTCTGATTATAACATCTGATTTTTTAAAAAAATCACATTTACCCAAGCATTTCCATATATAGTAAGAGCAAGTCTTAAACATTCTGTTTCTTTGAAAAAAAAAACATTAGAAAAGATGATGTCAAGTTCTGACAAAATTTTGTATTTAAGAAATCAAGCTATTTAACTTACAGAACTATGACCTCTATGAAGAAAAATGATATCCATAAAAAATGACTGTGATATTAATTCTCAGTTCATATTGCTTTTTGTTTAATATCACCACTCAGTAACAGTAATGCAAAGGAAGGGGAAGAGCCTGAAATATTTTTGAGATTTTTAAAAATACTTTGGATTAACAGGAACTAAGAAAACATTTGTAGGATGATTCACGACACATTGGAGGAGTTGGCATTATGTACTAACCTCAAGAAAACATCTTCTCAGGGTATAATTTGGTGAAATACCTGCATGATTGCAACTCAAAAACTGCCAAACTATCTATCCATAGCAATGCAATTGAAAACAATTTAAAAACAACAATATTTTCCTACCATAGAATTGATCTGCTGATAACAAACAGGGTTGCTAACCTAGTACTTAACAGGAAAAACTTCAACCCCCTGCCCATCAAACCCCTCACAAGCTGTGTCTCCAAACCAAGATGGGTCAGGTAAATATTAATAGTAGCTGTTACCATAATTCTTCTTGCACCTTCGAAGTAAGAAAAGACATGCACTGGTTTTTTTTGAGAAGGCGTATTACTTTATGTAATGGAACATATTTTTATAATAACAAATATTTTATGAAATGATGAAATCTTTTTCTCTGCAAATTTAAGAAAGCTAAGCTTTTTTGTGAGCAGGCTCAAAAAAGAAAAATTCTTTTGCTTCCAATAGTTTTTTCTGTGTAAGATGAAGATATTAGCAGATTTGAAGTAAAAAATCCATGCTGGTCTTATTTAAAAAATTATCCTTTACTTCACCAAGTCACAATGCAGGTGGAATGAGGCTACACAACACATGAAGAGCACAGAATTTTTAGATTTTCTACCTCATTATTTGGAAATAGAGCTGCTGCACATACATACTGCTGTCACTGGAGGCGAAAAGCCCTTTTTCTCTTCTAAATGTAAAATGAACAAACATTTTTCACCGGTGTTTTTAAATTTTTATGAAAAAGCTATACATGCTACTGAACATATTTGGATTAAGTACTATTCAGATCCAGGCTTCTGATGAGACTCTGCTTGCCTCTCATAGCATAGACAGAGAACATTTTAATTTCTGCTACAGACGGACGGACAGTTCTTTCAATTTTATTCAAATTTAAATACTGAAACCTCTGGTGAGGCATCAAATTCCTGATTTTCACAAAAGGCAATTGTGACAAGCCTTACTGGCTTCTAGAAGGCTGCTTGGCTAGGCTTTCAATTAAAGATCCCCTCAGGCTGGCCAGGTCACCTGTCCTGTACTTACATGACCCTATTTCCCTGCCATGTCCATGCCTGGACCTCCTTTGCACAACTTCTACTCTCAATCTCCATTTTTCCAAAGTGGTGGATTTGTTGCACATGTGTGTCAGATCCGGCCCTTCTTGCAAAAAACACAAATGAAACTTCATATGAATGGAAGTGTAGAAGATTGCTCTTCCCTGTTAAGTGAAACATTTAAAAGATACTTTGTAACTTAGAAAGTTGCTTGGTGGAATCAGCTCCAGAGCTGTTTTCTTAGCTGTATCCTGGGCATGCTATCATCTGATCCGATGTGAGTTTATCCTGATGGGAGAAGGGCTTCTAAGAAAGCCTTTAAGAAAGATGGGAAAGCATAGTAAACACCATCAGAGCAACCTGTATGGACTGGAACTCATGTTTAAGGGATCCTGTAAACAAAGCTCAGTTGATCAAGGCAACTGGCCGAGGAATTACCCTTGCGAGTCAAATATGGCTTTGTAGCTCTCAAACACTGTTCTTCTCCATAATTGATGGATAATCTTTTTTTTTTTTACACATAACATGCATCCTTCTGTTGCAGTTATGTTCAGTCTGGAAAACTGTACAAGCTAAAAAGTTAACTTCTGAATATATCCTTAATATGCACATATGCAAATGGAAAGCTGCAGAAAGCATCCAAAATAAATTAGTGAGGGAAATAAGACATCCCAGCTGCAGTATTAGAGAAGTATGTAAAGATTATAAGCAACTTTGCTTTGCTGCCTGCACAAACCTATAGCAGCAGTGACTTCAGCGTAACTTTTAGAAGGCTTAATAACTCTTCTGAGTGAAAAAAAAAAAAAAAAGACTATGCTTTACATTGCTCTGGCACCAGCCATCTTCTTAATGTATTGATTTTATTAATTTCTCTAAGGATACAATATAATCATCAATACCCCTTAGTTAATTAAAAAATTGTTCAGTATGCTATGCACTGGAGAATTTCAAAATATTTTTTTTAATATATAACAAAACAAAGCTAAATGAGCATCCCTATTTTTAAATAGATAGCTAAGTCAAGCACATATTGCTATATACTGAATAGCAATATACAAATAGCTGCAGATTTCTCTCATCTGAAGTTGTTAATACAAAACATACTATATACTCTTATGGTCCACTGTTTATAGTAGACTCTACTTACATATCTATGACACCATATTTCCTCCTTAGCCACATAAATATTTGCCCTCAAAAAAGCTACATACCTATTTAATATTTTAGTAGGGTGGGTAAGGCTGAATGGAATGTCTTGAGAACAGCTAGTCCAACCTGCTCAAGCAGGGTCAGCTACACAGGTAGCCAGAACCATGTCCAGATGGGTTTGATGGGTATTCCACAGCCTCTCTGACCAGCCTGTTTGATACCCTCACATGAAAAAAAGTGCTTTCTTGTGTTCAGATGAGATCTCACATATTTCACTTTGTGCCAAATGCCTCTTGTGCTGGCACTCAGAAAAATCTGTCTCCTTCTTCTTCATTCCCTCCCACCTGGCATTTTTACACATTGTACGTTAAGTACTTAAAGGCTACAAATAATCCTAGTAATATTTCATTTAGATAACTGTAACATGTTGAAAAGTTTTACAAATACATTTTAGAAAGCACATTTATTCTCCTTTTGTGCTCTTCCGGTAGTAATTTTCTGCAGCAAATCTGCTAAATTGCTTTTTTAAAATTTAAATAGCTGTAGAAAAACCTAACTCTCTATCAGTGAAACACACTTCATCTGTACATCAAATTGAAGGGAGCACCAAACATTAGGGAAATGAAGTGAGAACAGCTTGAAATCTCTATACACCAGACAGGCAGGGGGTTGAGAGTGCTCAGGCTGCAGCTTTCCATCCATTTTCTCTGCTGCAGTACAGTCAGTGCAGGGATAGCCAGTCTCTATCCCTGGCCACCAGCAGCTGCTCAATGAATCACCTTGGGGCAACAGGTTCATCTGAAGAATGCCTCCTTCCCACCCAAATGAGTTCCTATTTATTCCAGTCAGTTCCTCAAACTGACCTGCCATCAAATCATACAAAGTTATGCCTGTACAAAGGCAGAGTCTGTGCACAACCAGAAACAGAAGGTGGGCAGCTCTGCTGATCAATGTGAAATCATACTTCAGTCTGCATCCCTAACCTCTCATCATCACAGCATTCACAACAGCTTCAAGAGGATCTCTGCAAGATCTCAGTAGCATCTAAAATGAAACAAACACTCCTGCATGGCTGAATCATTTCCATTACTTTGTGATCTGTCTATACACAGTTTTAAGTGTTGTAAATAACCTAACTCCTGATACCATAGTGCAATTTTATCAATGGTACTTGAATCTACCATATAAGTTTTGGACATAAAAGAATGACTCATGCTGTTCCAGATATTCTATCTGCAGGACTACTTAACCTTCCTCTATTTCTATACCAAATCTGACACCAAACACCCCCTAGCCACCATATTTTCCTACTGTTAAGAGTAAGGAACACAGGAGATGAGGGTATAAGAGGCTAGGATGGGGGAATATGAGAAGATTATCAAGGGTTCTGCCAGCCTTTATTTTCACTTGTGTCCAAATTTAATGTCATAAATGAAAAGAGCGCTTTTTTTTATGTGTCATTAAATGAGCAATTTTAAAAACACTTTTCCAGTGGAATAGTTTGAAAAATGTTTATTATGTTTAAAGCTTGTTATTATTCAGGAAGAAGAAACAAAAGAAATCTACCAGAATTCTACCAGAAAAGAAAACTACCAGAATCTCACTTCTAAAATAAAGTTTGTAAGTACATGTCCAGAATAGCTTCTTGACATTGAAGAGAACCTGTATGGAATGTTCTTAGGAGGAGTTAAATGGAAAGAAAATCTCACAGTGGATTAACATTACCAAAATTTGCTCTGAACAATACAGAATACAGGAAGGAAAAGTGCAAATATGGGTACTTTTTTTTACTATGGGTAAAAACTTTCATTTTTATACCTGTTTGGAAAAAGACTGTGGCAATTGTAGTACGACACAGTGGACATGGAGTGCTGGCTGGATTGTCTTTGGCAAGCATCCTTAAGCAAGGTTCACAAAAGATATGGTGGCATGGATAGCACATGTAAGGATTGAAATAAACATCCAGACACACAGCACAGAGATAGCTTTCTTTATCTCGTCTGAGTTCATGCTCATCATCTGCATGCAGGTTATCATTTTCAGGCTGCAAGAAGAAAAAGAGAACATATTTTCACATTCAGCTCATAACTATTTTTGACAAACCAATTGTCTGGAAGGTCATTTTCAGTAATGCCTAAGAAGATAGTACACACAGGTGGCATTTTTAAATTTAATACCAGTTACTTTTAACAAGATGATAAAACATAGAACAGGAATGTCAGAAAAAGTCTTCAGTGGTAAAGACAAAAAATCACAAGACAGTAAAAGAAGGAAGTAATAAAACCAAAAAGGCTGTCTAAAACTGTATTATGATCAGTTTTCTTCTTTTAAAATGAATTTTAACAATCTATATTTATCTGCATTGCAAAAATCATAGAAACATAGAATGGTGTGGCTTGAATAGGACCATGAAGATCAGCTAGTTCCTACCCTCCTGCCATGTGCAGGACACCTTTCACTAGACCAGGCTGATCAGAGCTCCATCCAACCTGGCCTTGAACATTTCCAATAGTGGTGCATGCACAACTTCTCTGGGTAACCTGTTCCAGTGCCTCACCACCCTCATAGTAAAGAATTTTTACCTAATATGAGATCTAAACGTACCCTATTGCAGTCTGAAGTCATCCCCCCCTGTTCTACCACTACATGCGCTTGTAAATAGTCTCTCCATCTTTCTTGTTGGCTCCCTTCAGGTACTGAAAGGTGACAATTACGTCACCCTTAAGCCTTCTCTTTTCCAACAAAATACCCAACAAACCAAGAACATTTTGAACAAACAAAATACTCAGTCTTTCCTCAAAAGAGAGGTGCCCCATCCCTCTGATTATTTTTCTAGCCCTCATCTCAACCTGCTCCAGCAGGTCCATGTCCTTCCTGTGCAGGGACCCCAGAGCTGAGGCAGCCCTGCAGGTGGGGTCTCAGCAGAGCAGAGCAGAGGATCAGAATCCCCTCCCTGGCCCTGCTGCCCACGCTGCTCTGGATGCAGCCCAGGACACGTTTGGCTCTCTGGGCTGGGAGTGCTCATGGCTGGGTCATGTCCAGCCTCTCACCCACCAGCACTCCCAAGCCCCTCTGGGCAGGGCTCTCTTGATCCCTTCATGCCTCAACCCTCATACAATGTTTGCTCCAGCCAGATCCAGTACATTTCATTTGGTCTTATTAAACACTCATGAGATTCCTGTACACCCACTTTTTGAGCTTGTTCACGCTCCTCTGGATGGCATCCCATCCTTCAGGTATGAAAATACCTTTACTTTGCCAAGAAAGTCAATGCAAAATAAAAATCTCTAAAAATAAACTGTGGATTGTTCTGCCTTTGAAAAGTAATTTGTGAAGGGCATGTTCCAGCAAGAATGAGCTGAGACTTTGTTACTACAAAGTTGTAATTATTACTACAAAGCACAATAAAAACCTTAGGGCAGAAAGTCTAGGAGCTCCTACTATCTTTGGTAACTGCTTGCTTTTATCAGCACATGTGCTTCAAATTTCCTTGCACTGCTATATTTGCAGGAAGACGTAGCTGGACTTCCCAAATGGTGCTCACCCCATATGAATGTAACAACTTGTGTGTATTTCCATGCTCCTGCTTTGCTCTTGTAAAATGACTGAACTCTCACAAGTAAACTGAAGATCTGGTATTAATGGCACTCCGGGTTTTTGGCTGCCGTGATTTAGGAATGGTACTCCTCAATTTAGTGCTCCCACTGAGAATCTCCAAACCATGTGCCACTCACTCACTTGTTCCCCCTCCCCTCTGCGGAAGGCTGGAGGAGTACTGGAGGCATAAAAGGTAAAGATCACAGGTTGAGATAAGAACAATTTACTGGGAATGGCAATGAGATAAGAAAATGAACAGTAACAGCAACAATACTAAAGGCAGAGAGTATAAGAAAAAAACCCTGTTACTGCTCCCTGTGGCAAGAGATAGTGGCAGACCCTGACAGGAGACAAATGTCCCACCATTCCCTCTGGCTCAGCACCAGTGCCACCTGACTAGCCCCTCCAGCTTGGAACCAATGTTATCCAACTGCTCCCTCTGGCTCAGAACCTGCACCTTGCTTACTCAACTGGAAGGAAACCCTTCTCTTTGGAACAGACTCCCTTCCCCTGACCCCAGCAATAACATGAGGTGGAACAGAACAATCCTCCTAGGTCTTAGCCATGACCCCTCCTGGCTACTGCTGATTGGAATGCTATTCTGCTGCTATTCCAATTGGAATGAGGATATTAGCTTAAAGAAGAAACCAATTTTTTCATCTTTATGGGAGACACTCAGGAGAAATTTACTATGCCCTACCTCTTCTATCCATCTTGTTTGTTTCTGGTTTTGGTTTTATCTTTCACTGCTCACAGAACCCAATATAGTCCAATAATCAAGAAATCCACCAGGAAAAAACAAGACGGGAGCATATCAAGACACTTCTGAGTGTCAAAACTCTTCCCTCATGCCCTCCCAGTCCTTGCCTCCCTTATACAGCTGCATTGGGAAGTGATAGAGAAGCTTTGGTGGGTGCCTGGTATCCATCCAGGGTCAGTCCACCACACTGTATTACAGAGGCCACTTCTGACACTCAGGCCATGACAGACCACTACTGCCTGACACTGTTACCAAAAGTTAATGAGAATCGTTAATATTGTGGTTACTGTAGATATGGGAATTTCTAGATGTTTCAGAGAAGATTACATTTATGGCTTATACTGGTTTGAATCACAGTGTCTGTCATTACTCCCAAAGAGTATCTCTCTCTATCAGAGATACCGAACTCTGCAAATAGTGAATAAGTTCTGAACAGTATGGGTACTGTGGATTGCATTAAAAATACAGAACAGAAATATTTAGCCAGGATGCATCAGTTCTGGACAAAAACTTGTCCTGTCATTCTACCTTAGCCTTTGCATTGCGCTTTCCAGGATAATATGTGGTAAGAGGGCTTGTAAATTCTGAGCTGCTGTGCCAAGAATGCATAGAGATAGTTTTGGTTTATCACTGTGTCCAAATGCAAGCTCTTGTACAACCATGAATGTCAGTAACTGTGCGTTCTCTTACCTTAGAACTTAATACTCCAGTTTGATTTTCTTCACTTGACAGGGCTGCAGAAAACTTTGCTGTATACAGAAATTTACTACACAGGCAACTAGGCTGTACTCATAAGTAGGAAGCATAGGTCTGGCTGGACTAACATCCACAGAAGCTAGTCACACAGGAACAGCTTGGGACCATTACTTCCAGCTCCATGCTATAGGAAAGGCTCTTAAAACAACATTAAATACTGGAGTATTACAACTATCAGTAAAACTGTTTAACTCAGACTGTCTCTACACTCAGCAGAGAAAACCCACGCCAGAACAGAATGGCAAAGGGTAACAGAATCGATTACAGCTAAGCAATTTTAGAATGAGGCTTCATAATACCATTTCTTTGGAAAAAAAGTAGAAACAATTTGGTAGAGAAAGTGAGGAAAGTAATTTCAGGTAATTACATGACTGGTGCCTTCAGCAGAAATCAGGAAACACTAATACAACGTGAAAGTAATATTCCCTCTAACCCTGCCATGTGGGCTTGGCAGTGCTGGGTTAGTGATCACACTTGATGATCTTAAAGGTCTTTTCCAACCTAAATGACTTTAGGATCCTATGTAATGTTAAAATCATAATTAAGATCTAAGGGAACAGAAAGCTTTTGCTAACTGGTTTTGATGAGCATTGTTTGGAAAGAAAATATACCACGTGTCCAGAGGAGCTGACTGCAATTAAGTAACTAAGAGAGCTAGAGGCAAAACTGATGAGGACTCAGGGGTAATGGTTGGGTCTGAGACAGGTTTGTAAGCATGGTAAGATTCACAGACAGAGGTATCTCAGAACCAATTGCAATTAGAACAATGAAAATTATTCTAAAGTGCAAACAAGATCTAGTAGGAGAAATTTTCTTAGTGGTAGAGACATCTTTTCTACAGCTTTGTACCCCTTTTCAAAAGACCTATGTTGGCACATGGCATTATTCAGTACTGCAAAGCCAAAACCAGAGCAACTTCCTTGTGCAAGAAGCTAATGCACAATAATTTAAACAGTACTTATTTACTTGGTTTGCAATTAAGTGGTGCCTGTATATATTACTAGAGACAGGGCTTTAGTGTATGAAAACTCTTCAAGCATAAACCAGATTGTTTTTCTTTCAGGATTGTAGTAGGAACAAAATTGAGAAAGGACATGTAAACATCAAGGACAGTGAAAGATTGCTAAATAATAGCAGAAAGGCTTGAAAGCAAAACTATTACTCCTAAGAAATGAAGGAAAGGTAAGAGCCTTTCATCTTCCCACGTTGATTGGGAACTGCTAATACAGCTTTGACAGTAACCCCTAATATTTCATAGGTTGGACATCTGAAGGATATTAACAAAAGGAAAGAGAGGAACAGTGAATCAACTTCTGCTTGAGAAGCCTATAAAGCATGTTAAGTAACAAGGAGTCTAATATAGCAGAGGTTGAGAAGGGGCATGAAGATAGAAAATATGGGTATCGGAGCTTGTGAGAAGCCACTGCTACTGGCCTACAAGAAAGTATTTGATTCAGTTTCACATTCAGAAAGAACACATGCACCACTGAATAATACGATATCTAATGTATGATTTACCTGCAATCACGTGAAATACCTAGACCTAGTGGTTGTATACCAAGATAAGATATCTTTCAAGGTAAGATTTTGTATGAATGCTATCAGTAAAAGGCAGTTCAGAGTAAAACCTGTAAGTACAATCAGAACAGTGATAAAGCCAAATAAGGCACATATGACATTTGACAAAGACAACACATTATGAAAAAAACCAAGTTGCTAACCCCTTCATTTTGAACTGACCTATTCAGAATACTTTGTAAGCTCAAAAATGTCCACAGCTGAAAGGAATGATGACTCAGGAAAAATCAGTTCCATATTTCACATGATTATCTTGCAAAAAAACCTGGCTCTTGAATGATTTGCAGCTCTAAACCAGACTTTAAGTCTTCAAATATGATGCAGAATCACAATCATACACCTCAGGTCTGAAA